CACACACACACACACACACACACACACACACACACACACACACACACACAGTCTTTCGTTGGCTGAAGAGATGGCTCGGCACAGCCATTAAAGGGTGAGCCTCACAACCAAAGGGAATAAAAAGTAGTCAGAGCAGGCATCTCAGAAGGGGATCTGACAGTACTTGAGAGAAGGGAAGTACCCTTTCCCTCTGTCTCTCTCCCTCACCCCAGGAACTGTCTGTTAGTTCCCATGAGACCTCAGCACTTGGGAGGAGCCATGTTGCTCCATCTCAACACACACACTAGTTCACAGAGAACACCTTAGTTCTCTCAGAAGAAACCCTAGTGAGCGGGACTAGCAATCTTGGAGCTGGAAGGCTGAGCATGAACAAGTGGATGTCAGACATGCAACCACAGCACTCAAGGACAGGGACAATTGGTTCCCAGCCTCACACAGTGCCTGAGCGGGCACTGTCCTGGCACTGTGGGGAGTGGAGTAGCATGCATGATTCTTGCCATCTGCAACACCAAATGCATCATGTGAGCCCCCAAGGACAGTGTGTCTCCTATTCCGAGCTGGGAGAACCTGGACCCCCTCAGTGTATCTCTTTGAGAAGTTGATTAGCTTGATCTCCCCTTTGAATCTAGATCTGTTCGGCAGTTTGCCTGAGTTTTTGAGGCTGGGTCTCAATCTGTAGCCTTGAACTGGGAGCCTCCTGCCTCAGCCAATTTTCCAGATGGAAAGGAAAAGGAGGAGGCAGCAAATGTAGGAGAAAGCATCTCAGGAAGGTGGCAAAGTCCGGCCTTTTCTGTTTGGTGTCAGCCTCACTGCCCAGCTGCAAACAGCAATTTAGGAAGACAATAAAAGCGCCTCACAGCCCATCAGTGACTGGCTTCTTGCCTCTCAGTGCCACTCACTAGTCCCAGAACAAAGCGCTGCAAAGACTCCCCTCTATCTCACCCTGCAGCCTGGAAAACAGAGCCAATATTTGCACACAGAGAAAGCAAGGCCAAGCCCTCGCTGGCAATTGGAATGAGACGCGCGTCCTCTCTCAGCCTGGGTGGCTGGCTGCTTCTTCGTGGAGCGCCATCTCCCTCTGGCATTCCTTGGCTTCCTGTCCCCAGATGGCTGCCGTGGAACTGCCTTCGCAGCAGCTGGCACCACGTTTAGGTGGTGCTGTGTCAGCACGGTTCCCACTGCCCGGGGTTCAGATCCCAGAATCCCCCAGGTCCGAAAGGAAGGCTTGGCGTGCGGAGGAGTGGAAGCGAGACTCCGTCCTTTTGTAACTTCATTGTATTTTATTTACCAGTTTCGGCAGGGTTGAGGATGGAACCCTAGGCCTCATGCGTGCTAACAAGCCACATCAGCAGCCCTCTTCCTACTTTTTATTTCAGGACAGGATCTAGCGCAGTCACCCAGGATCGAGGTTGCTCTGTAGCCCAGGCAAGCCTTACACCTGCAACTCTCCTGCCTCAGCCTCCCGAGTCCCTGGAATGACAGACCCATGTCCCCCCAGGCTCAGCTCCTGATGCTATTTCCTTTTCTTTTTGTCAAATCTAAACGCACACACTCCCAAGTGTCATTTCATAGACCCCGAGTGTGAGTCAGTGATAGTGGCCGTATGCTCTGGCCACGCAAAGCAAGCTTTCAACATCATGGGCATATGGCCCTTTAAGGAGCAGTCTGAGTGAGGCCTGCATTCACTTGCTGAGTCAGGAGGAGCTTCTAGAGCTTCTAGGCTGTGTGCTGGCACAGTTCAGGCTCTACTTCAGGGTGAGCGGAGCTGGGGCTCAGAGCTTTGAGTCCTCTCAGGAGGAGGGGCTCTTCCTTTTCCTCCCAATTTTCTTTTCTTTTCTTTCTTTCTTTTCTTTTCTTTTTTTTCCCAAGACAGGGTTTCTCTGTGTAACTCTGTGCCTTTCCTGGATCTCGCTCTGTAGACCAGGCTGGCCTCGAACTCACAAAGATCTGCCTGCCTCTGCCTCCCGAATGCTGGGATTAAAGGTGTGCACCACCACTGCCCGGCCCCTCCCAATTTTCACCTCCACATCCAGATTCCCAGTGAGCCCAAGAGTCCCAGATCTCACCACTCAGGCCAGGGAGCTTGGGGGCAGATGACTCCAGTTTGTAGTATGTGCAAGCACTCATAGCCTTTCAACAGGTCTCGTCTCAGTTGGAAGAAAAG